TGGCTGCCATTCTGGTAGCAACTGCAGAACTGTTGCCTGCAGTTAAGTTCTTTTATAAGTCTTTGTTTCTTCTTTCTCCTTGAGGAGCTTTTTCTTTCTTAACATACTTGGCCATAGTTATTCTTTTCTGTTTTAATAGCAATTTCGTGGTGCAGCTGCCATCCTTTAAGAGGCATCATGATTGAGGTGCAGTATGCTTCACAACAGCCACAATTGATACTTGATTTGCCCAACTTTAACTCATATATCAAACTTCACTCCATCTTTAGCTCCAAACTTAGCACCTAGACCTTCTGTCTCAGGATTAGGGATAGGTCTGTCACTCATAGTGATACTCAAGTTAGCAGCTTGGGGAATGCAAGCATGGTTCATCAACAGGCATTACCCTGGTGTTTCAGATTCTTCTTGATGCTGCTAGGAAGCTGGTGTCAAGGAAATAATATGATGTTGAATAGACCTTTGCTAGAAGACCTTTGTAAGTATTGAGGGTGCTCATCTAGTGACTTGCCTGCTACTTCATATAGTAAGCTTTCTTTTTTTCCTGATCCAGTTCTAAAGTTATCATCATTGCATGTCTATTTGGCTGCAATTTCCACTTTTTGCTGTTCAGTTGACATTTGCACATCTTCTACTTTGGCAGGTCCTTAAAGGAGTTAGGAATGTAGCTCCTCTGGTAAAAGTTCTGCTTCTGCAGTGAAGTTTATCCATTTTATTTTAAGCCCTGTCAATTGGTGACTACATTTTCTTATACAGAAAATGTATAAGAAGATTAATCTTCTTGTCAGTCATAAGAACTCTGTAGACTTCAGGCTGATCCTTGTTCTATAGCTTTTCACAAAGCCACCTTTGTCTTTCACCTAGCTATATCTTTCCTCCAAAAGTTCTTGCCAGTTTCCACTTGCACCAAGATGCCATGCTGGCAGTCATTTTTTCCACCCCAGAATCACAAGTGGAGAAAGTTGACATATGGCAAGCCTTAGCTTATCTCAATCTACAAGAGAAACTTTCAATCAAATCACTTTTTTATTCATATGTAATGGAGGGAAATGAAAGGGCCATATAGTTTTTCCCCCCAAAGACTGGCATCATAGGTTATTATAACCATTGGCATATAAATTAGCAGGACTACATTATTCACTTTAAGAGCATTCAGTAGAGGGGTTCCATTTACTAGTATTTTTCAGAAGGCATGCTGGTCAGACATCTACTTTTATCCAACATTACCGTCTAGACATTTAAGCTTGAACATATAGCTCCTTTAGTTGAGCTTTATTTTCTCTTTTGTAGTAACAACATTTGCAGCTACTAGTTATTTTCTAATAACTCGGCTTGTTATTCATCCATATGTGTGATGCACCAAGACCATAAAGAAGACAGGTTCCTTGAAAAGTCATGTTTGCATGTACAGAACCCACATTCTATCTCCACTTTGGTGTTAACACAATACGGTTGGACCCACTTATCCATGGGGCATAGATTCCAAGCCCCCCCCCCCCAAGCAGATGCCTGAATCCATGGATAGTAATAAACACTATAGAATTGACCCTCCACATTTGTGGGGGTTAGTCGGTTAGAATCCCTGTGAAAGTAGAAAACCTGTGAATATCTCCCTCCTGCAAACCTTATCTTTTAACACTGTCAGCCAAGTGTGTACTGGTAGCTGCATTGCAATTACTTCTTTCACAATTTTTGAATAACCTTTAGCTTAAAACAAGACCTGAAGTACTAGAGCACAGCCAGCTCTGGGGAAGCTTGTTCTGCATCATATCATGAGCCTTGCACATGGTCACACACCCAGTTCTAAGTCTAGCATCCACTCCAACGTCACCAGAGGGTGGTGTACCATTCCAGGCTGGTCACCACAGCAGCAAGGAAAAGAAGCCTTTCCTGTTTGGCTGTCTTTGGAGGGAGTAGACTGCAGTAGGCTGCAAACAAACAAATGGTTTTTTGGACCATGGTCAACCGCAGTTAAGTGAAACAGTGGTAGCTAAAATAGCAGATACCGAGAAGTTTACTGAAGTTTTTAGAGGCCCCATCAGTATTGATGCTGTTTCCCCCTTACACAGTAAGATCAGCCCTCAGTTTCAAGGACACAATGGGCAATCTCAGTAGAACAGAGGGAATGGATGGAAACCTATTGGGATCATGTGTGCTGGATGCTGGGGGAGTGTTTCCACTAAAAATTCCTTAGCCATAGAAGTTTCCCAACACAGATGTAGAGCCCAAATGTGTAAATTCATGGATAACCACTCAGAGAATTACATTTACAGGTAAGTCTTCCCCTATATAGTTGTCTGAATGGTATAAAATGTGAGAGTCTCCATATTTCAGATGAGCTGAATTCCTAGAAGGCTAATAATATTGATACTGATCTTTACATTCATCTATCCTGTTTGTTTGTCAAATGATGCAGTGGGTGGAGTTATGGGAATAATGCACATGGTAACGTGTATACTAAGGAATGTTTGCAGAAATGTGGGGTATAGTTTGCTGCCTCCTTTGAGCATTTTTACATCACTGGTGTAACACTAAAATGCTGACAAAATATTAATGGAAGAATGTCTACTGAAAATAAAATTAGGCAGTACTTTTAATTTTGGGGTGGGGTGGGGTCTTTCAGGTAGTCTTTCATTTTTCTCTGAAAAGTTACAGTACATATTCGAGCTTCTAAAGATGGGAATATAGAGATCTTTAAAACAGAAAATATAAATGACTTGTATCTATCTGATTGTTGGTTACCATTACCTCTACCTTGAAGCCACAGAAACTGCATATTTTACTGTGTTTTGTATAAGACTGTGCAGAGGACCCAAAAACAGTTAGTTCACACAATGCATAGTTGTGTTCAGCTATTCAGCACTCTTCAAGTCCAATTATTTGTGTAACAACATCAAGACCAAATATAAAGAATTCATTAAATATATCAGAAGAAAGAATACCACTAAAGAAGCAGTTGGACCATTGGACAATAATGGAATTAAAGAAGCACTGACGGGGGATGAGAAGATTACAGGGAAGCTTAATTTTTTTTCATCAATCTTCACAACAGAAGATGTAGAACACATACCTGTTCTTGTGCTTATGTATTCTGGAATGGAACTGGAAGAATTAAGTCTAATTAATCTAATTAAGCAGATACTAACAACCAAAGATGAAATTCTCAACCGTATTGACAAACTGAAAGTTAATAAAATATCTGGTCCAGATGGTTCTCAAAGGACCCAAGCATGAAATTGCTGACCTTCTTACAGAATTATTTAATATGTCCCTAAGATCAGCCTCTGTACATGAGGAATGGAGAATAGCTAATGTAACACCATTTAAAAAAAAAAAAGGATCCAAGGAGGATCTGGGGAATTATAGGCTGCTTAGCTTATTATCTATTGTGGCTAAACTGCTTGAAAGAATTATTCAAGAGAGAATCAGTAACCTCATGGAAGGACAAGCCCTGCTGAAAAGGAATCAATATGTCTTCCTCAAAGGAAGGTTCAGTCTCATTAACCAATGGAGTTCTTAACCAGTGGATGTCAATAAGTACATAGATGGGGCGATCCAGTAGACATTTTTTATTTGAACTTCCAAAAGGCTTTTGACAAAGTCTCTCACCAAAGGCTTCTGAGCAAACAAAGCAGTCATGGAGTAAAGGGGGAGGGGTCTTCTGATAGATCACTAACTGGTTAAAAAACAGAAGAGAGTGGGAATTGTTCCCAGTGGTGCAATGTAACCAGTGGGGTCCCACAGGGTCCTGTAATAGGACCAGTGTGTTTCAAGATATTTGTAATGATATGGAATTAGGAATGGGTATTGAAGTGGCCAAGTTTGCTGATGACACCAAATTATTTAGGGTGGTTAAAACCAAAAGGGATTGTAAGGAGCTCCAAAGGGATCTCTAAGCTGGGAGAATGGGCATCAAAAAGGGAAATGAAGTTTGGTGTAAGAATGTGTAAAGTAATGCATATTGGGGCAAAAAAGTCCCAACTTCAGGTATAGGCTGATGGCATCTGAGCCAGCAATGACTGAGCAAGAAAGGAATCGTATGGTACTGGTGGACAGCTTGATGAAAATACTGGCTCAATGTGCAGCTGCTGTGAAAAAGGCCAACTCCATGCTAGGGATTATTAGGAACAGAATAGAAAATAGAATTGCCAATATTGTTCTCTCCTTATGCAACAACAATTAGAGTATTGTATTCAGTTCTGTTTGCCTTACCTGAAAAAGGACATTATTGAGTTGGAAAGGGTACAGAGAAGAGCAACAAAAATGATCAAGGGGCTCCTCTATGAAGAGTTGCTACAGCTAGGACTGTTTAGCTTAGAAATGCTAAAGGGGTGTAATGGGTGACATAATAGAGGTGTTTAAAATCATGCATGATGTGAAGACAGTAGAGAGGGAGGTACTTTTACCTTCTTCCATAACTCTAGAACCCAGGGCCAGCTGATTTGTGGGAAGTTTAGATCAACAAGAGGAAGTATATATGGAATTCGCTGCCACAGGAAGTGGTGATGGCCACCAGTTTGGATGGCTTTAAAAGGGGATTGGACAGATTCGTGAAGGACCAGGCTATCAATGGCTACTAGACTTGTTGGCTATGTGTTACCTCCTTTACCAGAGGTGGCATGCCTGCATTCACCAATTGCTGACGAGTTTAGGTAAGTGGAGATCTCACACCCATCCTGGTTGAGGGATCTTGTGAGAAGCTGGTTTGTCAGTTTGTGTACAGAGTTCTGGAATAGATGCACTTTTGAGCTGATCAAGCATGACCTTTCTTATGGTTTTTATGCTCTTTTGATTAAGAAACTGGCATCTAGAACACTGAATGTAAAACCATTCTAGCTGGGGAGAAAACAAATACAGGAACCTAAAAAAAAAAACCCTATTACAGATGGAATGTGTCTGCTATATAGAACTTCACAAACTTTAAGGGGCTAATTTTGACTCAAATCCAGGACACTGTTGGGCACAGAACACTAGAAACATTCTCATTTATTTTTCCTCTGCAGGGGAAAGTGGAAGTGGAGGCAGGAAAAGAGGGAATGAAGTTTGAAGCTGGTGCTTTCTCTTACTATGGAGTGATGGCTCTCACAGCATCACCAGGTAAATTCCTAATTTTTCTGCTGAAATTCCTTCTGAAACAAACATCCTCTACTGGTAAGGTTAAGAGGGCTAGAGAAGCTATTCCAGTGTTTTATGAAATCTGATGTACATTATAGCCCAGGGTTAATGTAAACAGCTTAAACTATCAGCATAAACAACTTGAACCATAAACGTTGTCCAAACTGGTGCTCTCCAGATGTTTTAGTCTTCAACTCCTATCAACCCCAGCCAACCTGGCCAATGGTCAGGAATGCTGGGAATTGCAGTTTAACGCATTCATAGGACACCATCTTTGGAAATACTATATAAAACAACAGAAGTATCTAGTGATGGATCTTGAGTACTACAGATTGTTATTGTCAAGATTCTCCTATAGTATCTAGAACTGCTAACTTGTAGAAAATCTGTTGTTGAGTCAAAAGATAAGAAAATAAATGGAAGGTCTGACTGTTACAAAAAAGCAGATCTCTCCTTTGAGCAGTTTGAGTTACTATCTAGTGGAATTCTATTTAGTTGGCAATTTGCTGAATAAAATCTAACACATTTGAATTGAATGTGTTTATAATAAAGTTCTTCTCAGCATGTTGTGAGGTTATGTGTACATTATACCTCTATTTTTTCCTGGGAGAAAATTAGTTTAATTATGAAGTACTTTCTCTTTTTTCAACACAGCCAGACAATATTGTGGTTTAATGTGATTAATTTTTATCTCTGCTTAGAATGGCTACTTACACATCATCACAAGAATCTCCAAATGTGCACTTGCTGATTTAGATAAAAAGATGCATTTTTCTTTAAATTATAATAATTCCATATATCTCATCATAGCAGGGAAACTACAATGTGTCTGCTCAGTCTATTTTCCAAGGTGCTGAGCAACTTCAAGGCCCTTGCTCTGCCTTTTTCTGGTTCTCTATCATAAACTGAACTTGCACTGGGCATCCCTTGAAATAGACAACTGTCTTCTCTAAAGCTGGACATCTGGCCACCCTAGCTTAGAGGTAGATTTGCAATTTCCTAGAGAGATACATCACACTTATCCCAGCAAACAACAGGTAAAAGATAATCAAACTTTGAATTTCTAGCATAGTTTCACTCCAGTGTCACTGAACCAATGTAAAATAATTCCTGGTGCCACTGATAGCAATAACTTCAGGCCAACTTTTGATTTATTTTTGTTTGTATTTCCATATCTTAATGTCAACATTTTCAACATGTGCCTACTTTTGAGGGGACAAAGTCTTCTTCCAGATGCCATTTCATCACTTTTGGCTTGAAGAAGTTGAAAAAAAAAGCACACCTGGTTTTGTGTGATCTGAGAGTATATTAACAACTGATGGACCTTGTTTTCTAGCTGTGATGAGGCAATACAACACTGTCAGCAGCTGTCCTGCTTGGAATAGGATGAACTCTTATAGTAGGGGTCCAGGAGCTGGGGGAGTTGCATTGCTCACTGATGGCCCGCTGATGTCATTGCAAAGCCGACAAGGAAAAGCAGCCATATAATAACTAAAGGTTTGCTGCTGAGATTGCTCAATAGGGAGCTATTTCACTTAAGCTCCTTTTTTTCTGTACTTGCAAATTTCAGTGGCAAAATGCTAGTTTGGCTTTTAAAAGGAAGCTACTTTTCCTTACTGCTGCCACCATGCTACTAAATTTCAGGGGCAGATTTAGCAATATAATGGAAGTGGAGACCATGAAGGGCTGCAGAAATGGTTGGGGGCACATACGGGCTATGTGTTGCCAGTGCCTGACTTAAAGAAACACATAACTGTTGCTGCAAATATATAAATCCAAAAGACTGCAGAACTAAGCATTCTTCCATGTTTGGAAATGCAAAGGGCAAAATGGTGTTTTGAGTTTACAAGGGTCCCTTTGGTTAAATGCTATGATAATGGGATGAGCTGGACTTACGATTTCACACTGTAACACAAACAAGCATTGAATGAATTTGTGGCAATACTGTTTCTTTTAAATGGCCTGTCATGACCTTTTGTTCATGTGTTCCCTTATTTTTATTGTTAGACCATGCTGGGTTACCCCAGGAAATTCCAAAGATTGTGTGCCTGTTAGGATTAGTAAGCAGGACACATATATAGTCTGATAATTTGATTTCTAAAATAGGACTTTTAGTAATTTTTCTCATCACTTTGTTTTCCTTGTTTTGCTACCCTTTAATTTTCTCAAATTTGAATTGTTTTTGAGTTCTCCATTATATTGGAAACTGATCCTCTCCTCTGTCAATTATAAATACCAACACCCTCTCTGGTCCTGATCTCATCTCTTTTTTTCCTCCCCCTTCTAGTTCCCTTGTCCCTGTCTCGTACCTTTGTTGTCAGCAGAACAGAATTATTAGCAGCAGGTACTACAGGTAAACTCGCATGCTTCTTTTCATCCTTCTTGTGCTTACCCTGCACTTACCCATATTTAATCAGCACCAGTTTGTATTTACCTGATACCTTTTTTGTTGGAGAAATTCAGGAGTTTTTCTGCTTGACAGGTAAGGTGGTCTTGAACATACAGTTGTGAGAAGTTAGTTTTTAAAAAAGACACTGAAATAAAAGGAAATACTTTGAAAAAACATTTGGTTATGAAAAAGCATTTCCTGGCAACCAGTGGTGACCTCTTTTCTAAAAAGCAGGTTTTTTTTCATCATATGACCTATATTGAACCCCCCCCCCCCCGGCCCCACAAAAAGCATATTGGAATGTGAGTACACTAGTTTGTACACTAGTTTTTTCTTTCTAGAAAGCTCTGGGAAGACTTGAAGCAGCACTGACTTCCAGTCCCCCACCCCCCACCCAAATCAATGCACAGTAATGTTTACTATATAGAGTAAGGTGGTGAAGTCTGCATCTTTCTGCCCTGCCCTGCCCTGCTCTGATTGCACAAATGACTCATCTCTTTAAATAGTTCTTTGAGTTGCTTTCTTTTTGTTAGTCAGCTGCATAACAAGTGGGACAGTCTTCTGAAAATGTGAATATGTCAGTTAAGTTCCTTGGATCATTATAACAGAATCTCTGCCTTTTCATGGCAAGTTTTATATTGGCCATAGTTTCAAACACTATCAAAAACTTTCTTTAAAATCGAAAACTAGGTATCAAAAACTGTGCTTTTTGCAGCTATGGCAATTGTTGTATCGTCACTTTCCACTCTGCCTCTCTGGTCTCCCAGGCTTTTACTTCTGATGCCTGTTTTTGTTTTTGTTGTTTTTCATTCCCTTCTTCCAGTTGTTTCCTTAGATAAAGCTTGCAGGCCTTCTAAGATGTCTCTTTTGACTTTATTAGCCTTGAATCCTTCTGGTAGTCCAGTTTTCCAGTTTTGAAGCTATGGCTTCTAAACACTGTCATCGGTACTTGGACTCTTCATTACTTAAAACACTAATTAGTTAATTCAAACTGCAATCTATTCTACATGGGGATCAGACAGTAGCACACTACCATGAGCTGGTCCCTTCCCTCCTTCCCTCTGTTTATCAAAGTCAAACAAAACCTTTGACATACAGTTCTTTTACTCAGTCTTAACTGGATGTAGAGCAGTATGGACTTGAAATAGTAATGTAGGAGAAGCATTGCCCATTTAATGAGTTGAAATCCAATTGAAACTTCCCCTCTGCCCCTCCCTTTCAATAAAGCTTCTGACTTCACCTTCAAGGTGTCTGTTGCTGCTGGAGGGCTAGATGGCAAGAATGCCTGAGGCCTTTGTAAGTGGGCAGCTTGCTTCTCTTGTCTGACTGGGTCAAGAAGTTCTTGTATCTGCTTCCCCTCCCACCTTGAAAAACTTTCCTCCCTTTCTAGCACAGACAGATTCTCACACTCTAAGGTAGTAATCTTGAATCAGTCTACTTCTCCCCATCTTGTTGCTTTGCCTCCAGAATTGTGCAAGTTTATCTGAACAGTCTGTAATGAGAGAGAGATGGGCCCCCCATACAACCACGTTGTGAGTTCCCTAAGGATTCCATAAGTCTAAACAAAGTACTACTTCAGACATGGCAAAGAAACTTCTTAAGAAGACATGTAGGAAGCAAGGGGGCCCCTTTAGCTGCCAAGTTTCTAGGAAGCATTTTTTATACCTAAAATACTGGTGAGCAAGTCCAGTGTCAAATTTGCAGGAGAGGCTTCATCAATGAAAAAGCAGACCCTGTTCTAGTCCAGGGAATGTAGTATCCTCTTTTAAATCAGTAGTAATCTCTGAACAGAATTAAAGGAAAAGGTGGTTGTCTTTCTGGGAAAAGGTGATTTTCTTTCCATTTTGGTAATGTAGATGTCAGCTATCTTAGAAATCAGTTGCTGACTTTAGAAAGTTCTGTCCTTTTGTCCTATAAAAAACTCAAAATCATGCCAATATTCATGTCGGATAAATGTCTTGCTGATAATTTAGGCTCTTCTGTGCCTAATAGCAGCTTGTTCTCACCTGTCTACATTTATTTATTTACTTATTGTATTTATATGCTGTTACAATAGCCCATATCTGGGCTCTCTGCACAGCTCACAATATAAAAATGACACAATGTTCTAAAATCAATAACATTAAATCAACTTTTTCAAAACATAGACAACAATAATGGATAAAATTGAAAAATTTGGATATTATTCCAGTTATAAAATCAATAGGAAGAAAATGAAAATTATGTTAAAGTTTTTAACAAAACACAATGAAAATATAAAAAAAACCCCCTCAGGATATTAAATAACTTCAAATCCAGTCAAGTACATAAATGTGACAGGAAATAATGATGCACTATTTCAAGATAATTATAAAACAACCTGGATAAAGGTTTTGAAAGACTTACAGATTTGGTCTAAATTAAAAGTTTCATGGCTAGGAAGAATCTCCATCATAAGAATGAATGTATTACCAAAATTGATTTTCCTGTTTCAGATGTTGCCACTTACAATACAGGGAAAAACTGTACATGGTTGGCAAAGAAAATTGAATATTTTTATTTGGAATGGAAAAAAACAAGGATTAGATTTAAAATACTACAAGATGGGAGGGGGGGAAAGAGACCTTTCAGTACCAAACATCAAAATATAATATCACACAGCAGACCTAATATGGATTACAGATTTGATTTTTAAACTGCAGACCTAGAGGAAGGAATACAAAATCAACTATGGGCTAAAGAATCAATTAAAAAAGCATTGACTTCAAATAATAGTCCTTTATTCCAAGATGGTTAAATAAAAATTTGGTATCCCATGAGGAGAAGAATTACCCCTCCAATATCTCCTATAATATCCCCAGTAGAAGCAAACTGTGGAAAACATTCCAGGAAAAACAACTATTTTATAACATGAAAACATGGTTGACCAACAAGGGCGGATTAAGTCATGTCAAGAATTAAAAGTGAAGGAAAAACCATAGAGTGGTTCTTTATCATCAGCAAGCCTCAAGATTAAAAAAATGAAATTCAAACTAGTATTTAATAAGAATACTAAAGCAGAATAAGAAATTTGATGAACTTTGAAATTATAATGAAAAATCAAGCGGACCATCTCCTAGGACACATTTATAAATAACTGCTTAGATATGATACTGAGACTCAACTAGACAAAATATGCTTGAAGAGCTGGACACAGAATTTTCAAGAAGAAATATTGGCCTGCCAATGGGAAGTCTTTTGGACAAAGGACATAAAATTTACTGCATGCCAAGCACTAAGAGAAAATTGGTATAAGATGTATTTCCAGTGGTATATTACCTTGAAAGATAGACAGAAAATGGACAATAATTATAATGGAAAATGTTGGAAATTTAATGAGATAGATGAGGCATTTTACCATATGTGGTGGACATGTGACAGAATTTTTTAAAAATTGGAAGCAGATACATGCTGAGATGCAGAAAATACTCAAAATTAATTTGAGTTGCCAATGGATGCCAAGAACATGTTACTGAGTATTGTCAAATGTTATGACTTATACAAATATAGGATAACAGTGACAAGAGTGATAATTTCCTCAAAGTGAAAAGCTGAAGACTGCCTTGCTGTCAAAGAAAGGAAAACCAGACTAGCTGAGTATGCAACAATGGCAAAGCTAACTAGTTATATCAACAGAAGACCAGTTAAAGAATTTATTCAAAGATGGAAGGCCTACTATGAACAATTTAAATAATAGTTAAAGAAAATATACTTTTTACAAATGTTTGTGGTTACTATTTGTTACCAAAGCAATGCGTTGGCTAGGAAAGTGGATGACATAGACTGTTGTTTATTGTAAATGTGTTTAAATGAGTACTTCCTTGCTAAATCTTCTATCCTTGGCTTCTTTTTTCCTATATACTTCCTTTTTCTTTCTATTGTGAAAACAAATAATAATATTTGAAAAAAATATTCAAAACATATTAACAGCATAATCCAAATAAAAAATAGTATATCAAAGTTAAAATACTGTATAAAACATTAAAACAATTTAAACTAAAAACGACTAAAACCAAACATGGGGTCAGTTTTAAAACCAGATAGCCATTAAAATCTGTTGTTAAAATAACTGGATATTATATTACATAATATCCCTTCTCCAGTCATTTAATCTTTGCATCAACTGAGAAAAATCCAATCTGACTTACAGTATTTCTGGAAGAGGCTTGTATTATGCAACTGCCTTGCCTCATTCATGGATTTTTTCAGGAAGCCTAGATGACATAGTGTTGCATTTGCAACCGTCCTATATTTTTCCATTTCTCCCATGTCTTTTTCTTATCACAAAAATCTGCTAAGGAGGAAAAGAACAGCTGCACATTGATGACTGGTAAGCCTTTATTTGTTGGATCTGGCAACATCTGACTTTTAACAATTTATTTCTTGCAGTCCAAACAAAACCATGATAGATAGATAGCTCCACATAGACAGGGACCATATAGCCATATTCAGGAGTGGCATCTATATACAATCTACCTGTTCAGATATTGGAAGTGCTTTTAAGCCCTCAATCCATTTGCAAGATGTGAGCAGTTACCCTCTAGTGTTGTAATTTTTGTCTTTTAGCTGTTAAAAAAGTGCAAAAATCAATTTACACTAACCATATGTTAACTTTAAGGAAGCAGGTAGTTAATTTAAAGGAATGTATGCAAAGTGGTCTAGTGCAAAATGTATCCAGATTATACTGTCCTCCCAAATAGAGGCTACTACTGGACATTGCTAAGATATATAATTAAAGGAAGCAGTATTACAGCTCCAGCAGTTAGCTGGCTTTGACTAACCCTTATTAAAATGATGTTGCGGCATCAAGTAAACACAAAACCAGAGTTGAATAAAATACAGCATGAGATTCATTGAAGCTTCATACAGAGATGCTAAAACAATTATCTGTTAATTAGACTCAGTGGCACAAACCAGTTCCATCTTCCATTCCTGTTTGGACTGTG